TAATTGCTGGGGCGTCTGCACTGGCGAACCCTATATGAACCCAACAACGTAGACATGCGCACCTATCATCACCAGTCCAAGCTGCCCCATAAATCCAAAATCATACACCTTGCGTCCCTCGACCCCGAAGTCGAATCCCAGATCCGCAGCTACTAGTCTTCAAACCTATCTTCCTGTCTTTTGGAACCGCAGGGCTCTCCTCTGACCTGGCAGGCTCCTGGCTCACCGAGCTGCTCATCAAGCTCCAGCCCAGTGGGCTGGAGCTTGTTGAGCAGCTCGGTGAACCTACGCTTGCTGCTGGGATCCAGGTGGGAGCCTTTCCCTGCCCAGCTTCGCAGGTCCACGAAGTAGTCCAACTGCCAACTGTGTTTACTGGCAATTTGGGCCGTACCCATGGAGGGTAAAGTCTCAGAAGTAGTGGTTTGTGCCCTATTATCCTCCGTTGTGCCAGTACAGAGCTGTCGAACAGGAAGATTCCCATAAGACGATCTGAGCCGTCCAGCAGCGAGACCACCAGGATGTCAAAATCTGCTTTTTCGTAGGCGAGTCGGCCCATGCAGCCGCCACACCTCCACAGGTTCGCCAAGTACCTACCATTCGCCTGCATATGCGTTGCCTTCTCCTGGATGCGCCACAGATGACTTTGCCGGCCCAGAACCGATACCCTACTGATTCGAACACCGAAACAAGTTGTGGGTGGGAATGCTCTTCCACGATATTGCTTCCGCTGCATTGCAGGATTGAATCCGGCAATGGTACATGTGGAAGGCTACTATTCCTGAAGTATTCCGCCAGTACCAGCCCTATCTTGTCGACTCGCCAAGCCTCTTCTCGCGGGGACCCGAGCGTGACCAGGGCGATCAGAACCAGGAGAATGCCATCGTAGCCACTTGTCCATGAAAACAAATAGTATTCACTGCTACCCAGGTTATGGCAGCTCGAGGACTTGAGCTGCAGGGGCAAGCCTCCGCTCTTCGACCCCCCGGGCTGAAACATGCGAGCCCACGTGCACAGCAGTCATGACGGCCTTAACCCGAAAGCACCCAGGGTCACCTTCAAGCCTGAGCACGTTGGGACTCGATTGCTTGATGGTGAAATGGCTGCAGGCTTAGGTGCTACTCGCGGTGCTCCACAATGTCATGCATTAGGTGGATAGGTGAAGGACTCTACTGAGTGTTAGCCTGCAAGAATGCAACTCGGACGCCGACAAGAGTGATGTATAGAAGATGATCGGATATTGGCACGATGCTTCTTTCAAGCCGTGGGGGCCCAATGCGTCGCCAGCGAACAGGATCCAG